AACCCCCTCGACCCCTTTGATCATAAATTTTTGACCCAAACAAACACTAAAATGACACTCTATTCAAACTCCATCTCTCTTTCTCTAAAACTCCATCTCTCTTTCGCTTCTCGTGAGTTTACCAGCCAAAGGGTTTAGCTTGAGCTCGAACACAAGCACACCTTCTTATGTGAGTGAGAGAGATGGAGTTTTAGAGAGAGAGAGAGTTTAGGTTTTAGAGAGAGATATGAAGTTTGAGTTTTAAGGAAAGAGATGGAGTTTAGAGAGAGAAACGATGATGTGAGAGTGAGAGATGGAGTTTGGATTTTAGAGAGAGATGGAGTTTTAGAGAGAGAGAGAGAAATAGAGTCATTTCATAAGTTGTTGAGGTCACTAATGCATAGTCAAAAGGGATTAGGGGGTTGGAAGATAAAAAAGATGGAGTCCTTTTTCTTACAAGTAATATTTTCAATTCTTAGGTCTAATGAGATATAAAAGTTCAAAATAAGGAATAATAGGGTATTTTTCTTATTGTTTATACTAAAAAATATGGGCAAAGGACTTTGTCCTCATCTTAGTTTCGAGTGCAAACAAATCGAAAAGTTGGAAGAGTATAGGTCCCATCAAATTACTCTCCGAGGGAGAATGGGATCCTAAGACCTTATCCTTCTCGGATCGCATAAAAGCCAGCTTCTCTCCTATCTCGATCTTGGAACTCAATAAGAGAGATAAAGCTGTCGAAAAGGGGTTTAGGATAAAAAGAAGCTTTTTAAGAAAATAGATTTAGAAAGAGGACAAAGAAGGTGAATCACAAGTAAACAATTACACTAAGGAGATATAAACTAATGAGATACAAATAAACAGGAGTAAAACAAATTTAACTACAAGATGCAAAAAGAATAAGAAAGTAAAAAGTATGGATATTACTAAATCTAAGCTACTATCTAAACTAAATATGCATAGTATAAAATGAAAGAGAGAGAGAGAGAGAGAGAGAGAGAGAGAGAGAGTGAGAGAGAGAGAGAGAGAAGAAATTAAAAAATGAGAGACTGAATACGAAGAAGAAAGGAGAAGAGATCCCTATTAACGAGACAAAAAGATATGAGTACAAGATGAGAATAGAAATAGTAATACAACATGGATGAGAACAAACATTAGAAAAAGAGGAGCAAAACTAGTACTTAATAGATAACATGCAAAGAGAGCAATAAAAATAGATATACAAGAAAAATGGAAGGAAAGAGTATTAGAATTAGTGCTAAAAATAAATGAGATAGAGAGAAATAGAGAATGACACATTGAGAAGGGGAGAGAGGAGTAGATGAACATAAGTTACCAATAAAGACAAGGAAAGTAGATGCAACGAGAAGAGAATAAGAGAGACTAAATTATGGAATAAAATATAAGGCAAGTAAATTAAATAACCTATAGAAGAAAGAAAGAAAGAAAAAGAAAAGGGAAGTAGAGATTGGTGAGACTTAGACTACGAGATAGAAGAAGAGAAAGAGTATATCATTAATAAAGAAAAACAACCATAATAAAGAACAAAAAATAAATACTTAATTGAGCAGGTGAAGAAGAAGGCAAGATCTACACCATTCAAGTGAACAAAAGGAAAAAAGAAACAAACACAACAAACTAAAATAAATAAATGCAACAAGAAAAAAGAAAACAACCATGCAATAAAAGAGAAAAGATTGGGATGAGAGGAGAGAGCATATACTATCAAATGGAGAAAACTAAGAAGAAGCATAAATGTAACAAACTAAGAGAATAAATGCTATGAAATAAAATAAAAAAAAACCTATAATAAAGAGGATGGGAGAATGGAGAGATCTACATTATCAGGTGAATAAGAAAGGAAAAGAGCAGGAAAAACAACAAGGTAAAAGAAATAAATGTAATAAAGAAAAAAGAAGTAACCAAATAATAAAAGAGATGATAGATTAGGTGAGAGAAAAATATCTATACTAAGGAAGATAAGTAAATGCAACACTCCAAAAGAAATAAATGCTATCAACAAAAGAAAACCATCATGCAATAAATGAGGTAAAAAGGGAAAGAGATGATTAAATATAACTAATCTATGGGTAATAAATACTACATTAAATGGAGAACAAGAGAAAATAAATAACTCATAAATAGAAGAAAATAAGGAAAACTGTATACAAATAACTAAAAGAGAAATAAATGTAAGAAACAAAATATGAGAAAAGAAAACGATGTTTTAGGCCGGGCCCCCAGGCGCGGTGTCTAGAGTCGGTGCAGATTTAGATTGTTTGATTGTACAGTCAATCCTGAGTTTTTCAATTTTTAACGGGGCAAGTAAAAATAGAAAGAAGAGGGCTCGGAAGGTCTGATTATCCGGACCCCCTTCAATTTGATAGTGTAGCTTGATGGAGTTGATAACTTAGTTTTGGATTGATGAATTTGAATGAAATTAATATTGCTCAAATGGGATCACCTTGGGTCTTGTTCTCAATCACAAGCTTGAGCTTAAGATCAAGGGGCTTTTCCCATAGCCTAGGCTCAAGATTAAGGAAGCTCGTGCCTTAAGACAAAGGCAATCAAGGGCAATTTATAGGCAAAATAGACCCATGATAGCCTGTACGTCGGTTTTGTGCGATTTTCGGACCATAAGAGTTCTGACGACATTTGGATCAGCGCTAACGCTAATGGGAATGGCACTAAGTCATTAATGGAGTAATAATGACAGTTAACAAACATTAACTGCTCATTAATGCGGCCGATTCAGCCTTGTCAGTGTCTGGCGCCATTGGCAATGGTGCCGACAACATTCTGACTGCCTCCAAATTTCATTTCGGACATGTGTCACCTTCTAGTGACTCTAGTCTAGATCTAATGGACCAATCAAAGCTTGAAGCTATTCCGACTGGCGTCGGCGGCATTTGGGGTGTCGTCATATACCAACTGGCACGTTGTCTTGATTGTACCTTTGTCAGTTCATCGACCAATAGAAATTCAACAACCATGGGCCATACTGACTTCTGATGTGTAAGTACAGGCCTGCCATGTTGGCGCGTATGGACTGACATGTGAGCATGTCATCTCAGTCATGTCGATCAGAGGAGGTCTTTGGGCCTAGCGCTAGTTCGAATGGAGTTGGTAGTATTGGCATTGCCGCCAGACTTTTGGTCATATGAAAGCTCAAAGGGGGGCCTGGATCTGGGCGCTGCTTGCATTGGCGCTAACTTCAGCGTGATGGCTTCTGACTTCTGATCTTTCGGGCTGCCTATTCAGTGACTGAGGTGCCTTCGATACTTTGACTTCAGACTTTTGGTAAAGGTTTAGTGGCCATTGGGGCAACATCAGAGCCTTCCCTTCTAAAGTGCTTCGAAGTCAAGTTGCTCTGAGTTTGTCTTGCCTCTTGATGCCTTTGGTCCCACCGGGGCAATGAAGGTTTGGTGGAGGCTAAGTTTACCAAAAAAGGGTTCCAGCAGGGTGAATAGTTTAAAATATCTAGGTGGTTTGCCTAAGACATTTCGACCTATTCACAATCTCCAATCGAGATCGTGGTGTCTACGATCATGTTGCTATCCTTGAATAAAGAGGGTAAAAAATGTCATTTTATTGAGGCCTCTAAATTAAGGGAAATAACAAAAATGCCTTTTTTTGTTCCAAAATAAGAATACGGAATAAGGACTTCCAATTAAAAAAATCCATATTGTTAAACCTGAACAAGTGGGGGTAGAACCATCCTGAACCTAAACAAGCATGGTAGGACGGACATTTTTATCGAGCAGCATAAAATACCCCTTCTTGTGTTTTTTAGAAACCTTAGACAAACAACAACGTGTGAAAAACATGTTCCACATTTGGAAGTCTAAACAAACAAGGTTATTTATGTTATTTAGTTTAGCCCACTCAAGGGTAGTCATTTACTGTAAATACCCAACATGCCATGGTCTAATCCTAATGTTGGCAATTTGGGCATTTTGTTAACATACTTTTGAGAACGTAATAGGGTGAAATGAAACTTAAAAAGGAATTAAATCTAATATTAAATGAGATGATTTCACTAGATTTTGATCATTAAAGTGATATTTTGAAAAAAAATAAAAAAATAAAAAAATATTTCTTCACTTATTTATAACTCCCTCGCTTGAATCTATTAGCTGCTTCTTTTGGTTTGTTGCTGACGATGTACATTTTCTTTTCTTGCACAACCTTCATTGCTTAGATTATGGAAACACTTTCATTAATATTGTGTATATCATGCTCCTGCATACTGCATACTCTCTTGTTAAATCATCTACTTAGCATGACTTTTTGTATCTTAAATTTTGGTATCCAAACTGCTTGATTATTATTTATAGGAAAAAGTTTATATAAGATTGATACCTTCAAATGCTAGAATCAAGGTGCACCTCAAAAAACTATCGAAAATGGTATTTTTATGTTGAAAACCATCTATTTGATCATCTCGACGAGATATATAGATATGAAAAAAAAAAAAATTTAAGTCCCAAAAATATTACATCTTATAACATATTATCTGGACCATTCATTTTCAAGATTTTCATGTGTTTATAGATCAACTTAATTTGAACTGTTCAGCTTGATTTGTACCATTTTTGGAGTTTAAAAATTTGTAACTAGAGATAAAAGTAGATTATCAAGAGATCCTAAAATTATTGACACTAAAATTCATCTCATGACAAAGTCCGGTGGTATGCCTTACTGTGTTTAAGATTGAAACCTTATGCAAACCTTACCCTTATTGTTAATAAAAACAAAATAGATTTTGAGTTCTTTTATACTTAGGTCTCAATATATCAAATTTGAATATCAATTTTCAATCCTTTAATGCTACCTCTATTTGATTTTACCAAAGGGACAGAGCAGAAAAAATACACCTAAATCTTTTGCATCTACAAAATTTGGGGACTTCATACATACTCCACTTTACCCGACGGAGTACTTTAGTCAGCATATGCGGCGGTTTGTGAAGGTCGGCCCAACGATAAATGAAGAAAAATTTCAGAAAAAAAAAACCAAAAAGCAGGTCGGGCCAGCCTTAGCCCTAACCTAGCGATTGGGCCACCGCCAGCAACTCAAGCCTCTTGTTTTTTTTTTTTAGGGTGGGCTGACTGTAAGGGTTGCAATGGGTCAGGTATGGGTCCGGTTCTACTGGATGTGGACCTGGACCTGAATAGCATTCGGTCTAAAATTTAGTATCTAGACCGGTCGGATTCCAGGTCTACCTATCGTATCTTGGGTCTTGTAGGATCCATTGACAGCCTTAGGCCCGACGGGGGCCCTTTCCCCTTGCTAGCGGGGAATTTGGAAGCATTGAATGACGGGAAATGTTTCTATTGCGATTTTGAATTGAGGCTTAGCCCTAACTTTTTGCACGAGTTACAAATTTGTTGAAGAATTTTTCATGTGAGAGAGAAATTTGCAGTAAGAGAGGGAGGGTGAGGGGCTTACCATTTGCCATCAAATGGCTTACGAGGATGCACAGTCTCAGGATTCCCAATGGACTGCTTTTAGAAATGCCGAGAAGAAATACAAACTCTACAAGAACACCAAGCAAGCTCTCTCTCTCTGTCTCTTTCCCTCTCTTTCCTTTTCCTCATTCAGGCTGTCTCTAATTTCATTTTGTTTTTGTTTTTGTTCTTGTTCTTTTTCTCATTTCTTTCTCTTAGGCTCAAGCGCCCTGCTGCTGATTTATCAGAGGTTTTGGATTTTAGAGCAATACTCCACTCTTTTGTGCAAAACGGGACAACTCCTCCTGGAATTTTTAAGCTCAATAGAGATTTCGATCGACCAGTATTTTGCTTTGAAGAGCGTCCTGGTATGCTTCCTAATTATTTGATTCTCTGTTCCTTTTTGCAAGTTTCATGAAATCGGGGTTTAGAATGAAGACTATTATTAGTGTTCTTTGAGTCATTAGAGTGAAGATATTACTGACGAAGTGTGCTTGTAAAGAAAATTAGGCTTTACTGTAAAGAAAATTTATAGCACACATGATTCTGACTTAAGTGATCGAATGAAGTGAGTTTAACTAGTTGTGTGTATTGTGGAACGAACGTGAACTGGATTTGAAATGATTACAATGTGCTTCATATATGAAGAGGATTTGAACGCAACTTGAAAAATGAGAAACTCTTTGAAGTTTTGAAGAAATTCATTCCAATAATTACGCAAAGATAGTGTTTTGGATTGTTACTGTGTATTTTAACGGCATTTTCCATTCAATTCGACCTGTTTGTGGACATAAGCTAAATGTACTGGAAATCATCTTAGGAATCTCTTAGTTAGGGTTATTCACTCATGAGAACTACTCAAGGTCTATTGAATTGTGCATTTGCTTTAGTCACCACCTGTGAATACTTGATTCTTTTGTTTATTTTTGCATCTTGATTGGTAATGCTGCTCAAATTAATCCAGTTATTGATTCCACTCACACCCATTATGCATAGCTGCTCATTTTCTTTAAGCTGTTTTCTTGTTTTGAGGTTATATTCAGATAGAATTGCCTTGAGTCCATGATCATAATATTCAGAGTTGCTATCGCATCCACCCTTTTTACGTAACATCATAATTTTCCAATTGCTTTCTCGTTTAAGAAAGCATGATCCATGCAGATTAACAATTGATCCAACTTTCTGATTGCTGCCATATGGCGTACAATGCTTGCATAGGCCTCAAATTTTATAAAGGAAACCATCTGAGATTTACTGTCAAGAAATTACGAGCAGCCATTTTAGCATTGAAAATTATGAGTTATGACATGACGTTGACCTTGTAACTAATGACGTTCCCTGTAACTCAGAATTGAATCAGAATTATTGTGGGATAGAATTATATTTTGTAGGTCTAACCTGTGTGCCAGGACTCGCCTTGGCCAAGGGACTCGGCCGAGGCCTGTACAGGGCCAAAAGGCCCTTAATAAATTAACGGGAAATTGATCAAAATACCTATTAGAGATGAAGTAGTTAACATTTCACCCATTGCAACTATTCCAACTCAAGACCATATGTTTTTCTGTAGGTATTTTGAGATTAAATAAAAAATATGGGTAAAGTGTTAAATTGTTCATCTCTCATGGGTAGTTTGATAATTTTCTCTATATTAAAAAATAGGAAAAATTTTGAAAAATTAAAAAATACATATAGAAGGAAAATATAAGAATTGTGATTACGGAAAAATATACTTACCAATCTTTGCTAAAAATATCCAAATCATATAAAATAATTTTTAAATAACATTTCTACATTTTTTAAAATTTTTATTTTTTAAAATGTTTTTGTATACTCTTAGTTGTAACACAACTTGGGGTTACTTGGCCTACTCGACTGAGTCCAAGTGGACTCGGGCAAGTCCCGTCACACTAGTTCTAAATTTTCCATTCTTTGACCTTGAACTTTGCAAGTTTATCTGAGTGCCCTCATGATCATTAGTTTGAGCTCGTTCTAGGATATTTCAATTACAGTTTCACTTTTTCTTTGTCCCCACTCATGTAGTGGTTGTATTTAGAGTAGGACTAGAGTGATCCATCCCTTTTAGATGCTCCCACCTGCCAAGTTTGAAACTGAGTGACAATGTAACTAAGATAGCTAACAGCCGGAATTTGAAATAGATAGTACCTATTTTCTTTGTAGTAGAGGGTCATAACCTGGTTTCAGTATTTGAATGAGATTTAAGTCAAAAACTACATAGGCACAATGTTGTTGCGAAGCTTTTCCTCTATTGTTTTAAAATAACCATCATATTTAACTTTTTAAAAGTTTTTATCACTAAAATATTTAAATCCACTGGTTTTGGACCTGATGCTGCTAGCCATTGTCACTGGACGTGAATCTTTTAGTGACACATATGTCATTTTGTTATTTTGTTGAAACCTCAGCTGATCAATAAATCATATTCAACAATAAGGCCTTTTTGGATCTATGAATCGTACAAATCTTATGCAAGCTCTCTGTGCTTAAGGTCTAGAACTCTAGATAACCAAGTATATTATAAAAGTGAACTGGGCTGGGTCGAGCCCAAGTGGGCTCTCCATCTGAGTCTGACCAGTCAAGACTCAGACCAGAATCACTGGTTTTTTTAAGGACCTGAACAGAGTCTCTCAAGACTCAGGCAGGCTCAGTCAATCCAAGTTGGCGTCATCTGGAACTGGTGGGGTGCCGCCTCCAAGGGATTCGGGTTAGTCCAAGTCAAACTCGTGGATTTTTTGAGTAGTTTTACAGATTTTCTCTATGCATGGCACATACCATTTAGAGACTCAGATTTTATGATTGTTAAGTTATTGGAAAATGAACATTATTGTCCCAAAACAGGATTTTATTTTATTCCGGGAGCAATTGGTATTGAGGAGCAGTGCTATTGGGTTCGTGAGAGTCTAACAAGTTTTCCTCAGCCTCCTAATAGGACCAACCACAATGCAATATATGGTGAAATTCAAGATCTATTCCTCGCGGTTCAAGGCCAGAGACTTTTGGTTGAAGTGGGGGACCCTATAGCAGCTGTTAATCATAGAATAAACTCTGATGAGAAGCCGCTAAATTTGGATGATCGAAGATGGGCATTCATGGAGAAAACAAGTGGCATTTCAAATGGGTCACGCAAGTCCATTGATGCAGCTGTTCTATTGAGGAAGCTTCGTTGGAGTACTCTTGGTTTGCAATTTGACTGGTCCAAGGTCTTTAGACATATTGACCTATTCCTTCCTCTAGTCAATTATAAATTATTTCATCATCATATCTCTTTTCAATTATAGATTATAGATTGTTTAAGTTCAGAAAAAAAAGAATGATAACTTTGGTATTTCAGTAATGTGTTCGGAATTTCCATAGATACATGTGCACTAAAAGGATGTTCATGTAATATAATATAAGTTCCACTTGACACTTTGTTTATAGATTGCTCTTTTTCTTTCACTTTATTTATATTTTGTAGTACACATTTGTGCCACAAAGGTTTCTGTCATTGTCGAAAGATAAGTTGTTTATATATGCAGAGTAAGTGACTGGATCTAGTAAGCTACCTGTCTTTCAGGGACACAGAGACGTGTATGTCTCACACAGAAACAGATTCCCAAAGACTTGTGTTAGATTCAACACATCTGTACAATGCTCAGGTGTAAGCATGTGTACCCTGTGTTTCGCATGTAAAATTAGAACATTAACTGGGTAAGATGAACGTTAAGGAAAATTTTAAATATGTGCATCCAATGTATGGCATGCATGTTCAGTACTGTGCTGATGTCAGACATGTTGAAAGAGCGTCCAATACATGGTCTTTGTAACATAGCCCATTATATCGAATTTTCCTACTGAAACTGTACATAGTTTTTATTAGTTCATTACTCTTTATTTGCAACCAAATTTAATTATGTTTGGATAACTTCCGATGAGTTTGTGCCTTCAAAATATAACTTCCAATCAGTTTGAAAGTTTTTGAACTAGTTCAAGTTTCATACTACAGCACTAAAGAAATATGCTTTTAATGTTTTCATGACTGCAGAGGAACTATGATAATTCTCTTGCACACAACAAGATCCCAGACAAGCTTTGCCATCTTGCAAAGAAATTGGCGGCACCTGCCGTGGAAAAGGGTGATTTCAAGCCAGAAGCTGCCATAGTTAATTATTTCGGTTCTGGTAGGCATGTTGAAATCTGTAGGTCTGACATGTCATTTTGGTTGCTTTGCAGAATGGTTCTGTCATTTATTGTCAATTTTCTTGCATTATTAACACTATCATAAAATGCATGATATAATGACCTATTGCCGGTATATACTAGACGATACGCTTGGTGGTCACCTTGATGACATGGAAGAAGATTGGAGTAAGCCTATTGTGAGCATCAGGTATTGCCTGTCCTATTTATGAGACCACTGAAAAAGAATTCTTTATCAGAACTTGTGTTGGTGGCCTAAGAAATTTCAACCATAATGAACAATAAGAAAAAGAGAGAAATTTCAAGCATTTTACTTTCTTTATTGTCTGAAACAGTCTAGGATGTAAAGCTATTTTTCTCTTGGGAGGGGACTCTAGGGAGGACCCACCAATTGCAATGTTCGTTCGGAGTGGCGATGTGGTGTTAATGGCAGGACCTGCAAGAGAATGCTTTCATGGTTAGTTTGATCTTCCTTTTGAATCATCTTTTTCTAATTATGAAATCAAGCTTTGTTGTTTTCTACTTTTTGGGATTCTCTTATGTCCCGTTTGGTTCACTCGAAATCTCAACCCTGGATTGATTCATATCCTAGATGTGAATCTTCCAGGAGATACAAATCCTGTTCGGAGAGCATCTAGATGGAATATCGGTTATGCAAATCCATTGTTTGGTTTACATGTTTTTAATTCTGGATCTACCGATTTTATTCTATTTTCAAGTTATAAGGTTTCTATTATTTTCTTTTTTTCTCTCTAATTCCTTTCTCTCTAACACCTCTCTCTCTAACCATGCCCTTTCTCCCTCTAACTCCTTTCTCTTTCTAGCTCCTCTCTCTCCAAGCATGTTCTCTCTCTCAAACTTCTCTCTCTAGCTGTGCCCTTTCTTGCTCTAACCATATGCTGTGTCTCTAACTCTTTTCTCACTAACTATTACCTTTATCTCTCTAACTCCTCTCTCTAAATGTGCCCTTTCTCTCTAACTTCTCTCACTAACTGTGCCGTTTCTCTCTCTTAACTCTTCTCTCTAATTGTTCCTTTTACCTCTTTACTCCCTCTCTACAAGTCCTGTGTCTAATAATGCCCTTTCTTTCTAACTCCTCTCTTGCTCTAAATGTGCTCGTCATCTCATTCTCTTTCGCTAATTGTGCACTCCCTCTCTAATTATTTCCTCTCTCTCTCTAATTATACCCTTTATTTCTCTGACTCCTTTTTCTAACTCCACTCGGACTCATCGTGTGATTCTCTCCATAACTCCTCTCTCTAAACCATGCACTGTCTCTCTATAGTGCCCTTTTTTTCTATAAATCCTCTCTCTATCTTAATCCTTTCTCCCTCTAAGTGTGCCACACCTTCTTTTCTAAATAGAGGAGAGAGAATGGTGAGCATAATAGAGGAGGGAGAGGAGGTCAACAGTCCCGTCAGCACACCAATTGAAGATCTCTTTGGATTGGCATTCCTGGATATGCTAATTCCAACTTTTTTTATTCGATCGGAATATCCTTGATATGAGCCCTTTTTAGCATAGCGAGGGACTAAAACAAGTGCCAAACACGATTTTTGTGTTATGTCCTGGATATGCAAATTCTGGAAATGGATCTCCGTGCATCCTAATGGACCTTTGGTTTATGAAAACTTATATCCTGTTGCCGGCATAAGCGTTGGAAAGTATCATTCTAGATTAGCAAAAGACGAATCTGTAACAAAAATAAAAAGAAAATACGAGAAATGTGTATAATCAAAACTTACTGGAAGTGAATTTAAGTGTGCTATGTTTGTTGCAGTTTGAAGCTTGTCCTTGATGTAATTGTTTAATATAATAGACACTCCACTTGAATTGACCCTAGTTTGCTCTTGGAATGGCCTTGAACCCTTTCTACTTGTCACTTATTGTGTTACTTTTATACCTAATAAGAATATAATCATCCAAGTGTGTTTGCATACTGGCATGCTACACTTTTTCCAGCCAAAAGGCATTCTGTAATGATTTAAGAGCAATGATTACTGTGAGTAACATCTTTCAAGTGCATTCTTGCACGCATGATTTGTTGGTATTGTATCAAGATCCTTGGGTGAGAAGCAAGATCTTAATGGTAGCAGCTGTGCCTATTTTGTTGTTGATTGCTAGATGAGGTAGTTGCAGAATATTTAAACAAATTTAGATCCTGTTTGGAAGGCTGAATAATTCCAAAAGCGAGGGAGTTATTTATAAATGTGGCATTATTTTTTGGTGAGGTCAGCTTTTGTGAATAAGCGGGTTACAAAAGCCTGGCCATTTTTCACTCCTAAATGGGTGGAGAGAGAAAAGGGGCCATTTCCCTAGTTTGGTCCATCGAAGCAGGGCCTTAGGGTTTGCACTCACTCATGGATAGGCCACATGATTTCATTTTACAGTGTTAGCATCTTCGGGTGCCTGGAAATCCATGTACCGCAGCCTCTCGCTGTTTCTTTCTTGCATTCGCTTCTACCCCAGGGATTGGACAAAAATTAGGTTCTGGCCTGACCTTTGGATAGGACCCTCCTCTCTTTCTCAACTTTTTCCATCCCATTTCAATTTGGCTAGGAACCCTGATGCTCTCATCACTGACCATTTTGGGCCATCTCAAATCCCTAGCTCTTGGAATCCCTACCTCCATGGAGCCCTCCAAGACGAAGAAATCCCTGCTTTCACAGCCCTTTCCTCCCTAATTCACCCTTTTTCTCACACCTTACCCGGAGAGGACAAAATCATATGGACCCATAACCCTTCAGGGAATTTCTCTATCTCCTCCTACTACCACCTAATTCAGCATCCATCCTTATCCCCATACGAAGCAGCTATAGTAAATAAAGCTTGGTTTACCTTTATTCCACCGAAGTTGCAATTCTTCCTTTGGGTCTGCCTCTGGGAAAGAAGCCTAACTGTAGACCAGCTACAGAGAAAAGGTCTGCAGATCCCTAATTGCTGCATCATGTGCATGCCAGACGAAGAAACTAAACCCCACCTTTTCCTCCATTGTCCTTTTGCTAGCTTTCTCTAGGATCGCGTACTCCTTTCTTTTGGTTAGTCTTGGGTCACCCCACCTTTGATTCCTCAACTATTCCAGCTAGCATCCTTTCTCCCTTGGCCCAAATCAGGGGTGTTACTCTGGAAAGCATTGGTGATAGCAACCCTATGGTCTATTTGGTTCGAGTAGAACAACAGGATCTTTAGGGGGCAGCACAAGCAACCCCATCAAGTTCTGGAGTCCATTGAGGAGATGGTTATTTTTTAGGTCACCAATAAAAAGCACTTCGAGTCCTTCTCGGCCTCCGACTTCATTCTAAATTGGCCCACCATCCTCCACCATAGATCCAGGAAGATCTCTTGCTCCTCTCTCTGGACACCTCTAGACCAAGGCCAAACCAAATTAAACTTTGACGGTTGCTCTCTTGGCAACCCAGGCCCAGCTGGTATCAGGGGCATCTTCAGAAACCACAGTGGTCTATCCCTCTCGTCCTTCTCATCCTATATCGGGATAGTGGATTCCAACTTGGCGGAAGCTTGCGCCTTTCTGGAAGGACTCAAAAGCTTTAATCCCGAATGGAGCTTTGCCTTGGTTGTAGAAGAAGACTCCAAAAATGTCATTTTGTTAGCCTCCCAAGTGGCAACCCCTCCATGGAGACTGTGGACCATTTTTTATGAGATTTTCGAAATTTGCAGGTATATTCAAGTTTCATGGACGCATATCTGGAAGGAGGCCAATCAGGTGGCCAACAATGTAGCTAAGCAAGGAGCTGCGCAAATACCGCTTTAACTGTTGCTGCTTGTTTTTGCTTTTACCTATGTATCGACTCGTTTTGTCTTAGTTTACGTGCTTACATCTTTTTTCTTTTTCAGGTTATGTATATTCCCTTTTTGGGCTCTAGGCAAGGTCTGTGAGTTCTTGTAAATTGTATTTTCTTTTAATGTTAATACAATGTTAACAGCTTCAAAAAAATAAACAAATAAATAAATCTGTGATACATAGGTAGAGACAAAGTTATTACAATTGGAAACTTTGGAAATATGGAGTAACTTGTCTTTATGGTTTGTCATGGAAGTGTGTGCCATATTGTCTCTGTCTCCTCAAATCCTCATTTGCATAAGCAACATGAAGATCGCTATAGTCTTAGCATGGAAGTTGAGACACTGTTACTGTCGATTTTTTCTGAGCCATGGAACATGAAGTGGGTAGAATACTTAGGCTCCAATCAGTAGGCATGTTCTCACACTTTCTATGGGGATTACTTGAGTTTAACTAACAAGAAATCAGAAGAAGTAGAGTGAACAATAGAGCTCTCACTATAACTTGGTATAGAAGTTGGTGACGCAGCCCAAAGGCATATTCTTGCGCTTCATGTTGTGTGCAACAGGATTATGAGGCATGCAATTGGAGTACAAGATAATAAATCTTTCAGGATTATGAGGCATGCAGTTGGAGTACTAGGAGGTTGACAGAGCCGGTATGAATTTTCAGGATTTGATGAATAAATCTTTCCCTTTTATGCTTTTAAGATGTACAAGATAATGCCATTGAATCATAGCTGGTTAAGAGTAATTGGGATTAGGAATACTTGTGATGAAATGGAAATACCCCCTAACGGTTGTGACAATATGTATTTAAGGAGAATACAAGCTGGTTGTGCAGACTTTGATATCTTTGTAAATGAAACTTATTTGAGTCTCTTTGAGTTTGAGGCCTGCAAAATTTGTTCGAGAGGATTTTATCATTATTTTATGTTTTTTGTGTTTTGTATACAAGACAATCATCTAAATATCGGAGTGAATTCTTCCTCAGAAACCAACTGGAGGGATGGTAAATGAATCCTTGATGACTGCATTAACATTAATGGTATCTGCTGCAAAAGAAATGCTTCTTTGTTATTAGGAATTCTTGGAAGAACCCAAGGCAACTATCTTGACACCCACAGTTACCTTCACTGGTCATCCAGACAGTCAAAACACAATCCTCCCCCTCGTCCATTATTTGAGATTTCCCAGCTGCGTGGCTTGAAGTTGGGTGTCCATATAATTTCCTTTCCTGGTATATAATTCCTACCTTGAATGAGTCCTTCCAATTTATGTGTAACCTGTTGGAATATTTGGGACTACTTTCTCATCTTCAGAAAGTCCACACACATACACACGTACACACTGGCCTGGTGTATTATCCGTTCCTTTGGTATATATGTAACCCATGGAATGCTTGATAGACTACTTTCTCATCTTCAGAAAGTTCATGAAAAGTTCATCCTATAAATTTTTTATTTCTCAATTTTTGCCTTTCCACTGGATGTGACACTTCATGTGCTTCTTTCTAATCATATGTTATCAGTTACAATCCTTAATAGATATTTAATGCTTTAATCCCATTCATAATCTTGCCAATGTCTCTGAGTTGTTATTATATGTAGGATGCAGATGTCAAATCATGCAACCACTGTGTCGGAGACATTTGCTAACATCTAACATCGTAGATGTTTGGAACATTATCATTTGTCATGTGATTCTATGGTTTTATCTGTCTGTCGCCTGCCAGAGGTGGTTAGAATTAGTTTCCACAATATCCTTGTCCTGAACTTTTTGTTTCTTCTTTGGCATCGAATTTGAACCCATGGTGGTGGGGTCTTTTCCTCTTATCCACTCTAAAAGCAAGACTAGGTGTGAATACAGCTAGATTAATCGATATGACACCTCTGGCATTTCTTGCTCTCCACTTCATAGGACAGAGAACTTGCCATCTCTTCAGCAATGGGTTGATTGAAGTTTGAAAATTCTTGCCATTATTGGCCAGGCTGTTCCATTATTGATTTTGATTGACTAGCTGAGTTTGTATAAGAAATGAGGTTCCTTTTTCCCGTGGGTAATAAGAAAAGCATGTCTCGTTCTTTCTTTTTTTTCCCAAGAAAATAGCTCTTGAAACATCAAAGGAGAAACAGTATGGGTATTTCACATTGGCGAATTGTGAATGGGGGTCCCAGTTAGCAATATACCATTGTATTTTTATTTTTCAATGAAGCCAATTTACTTAGTTTCAAAAGGAAACAGAAAATAAACAGAATGTGTTTTAAAAGTTCTTTTGCAATCTCTCTTTTCATGATGAGGGTGATTTATATCTTTCCTAATGATAGAAAAAAATAGGTGGAACAAAAAATATGAAATGAAATGAAAAATGCCAACTTCATTGGTGGTAATGATGTAGATGACAGTGCTTTTAAGTTCCCATCTTTTGGGGTGGATATTTCACTCTTTATTTATCAGTTGAAGTCTTGAAACAATGATTTAGAGGGATGTACGTTTTGTTTCATTTTTTATTCTTTGCTTTTCTTTTACTGTTTACACTGGTAATGTTGTGGAACTCAAGCTTGAGGTGAACATCCCAGCCTTGAAAACTAAGCATCCTATTCTTCTCTTCTCCAGGAATACCACGAATTTTCACGAATGAGGAAAATGCTGAGGTTTCTCCTCTTGTTGCAGAGTTTTTGAGACAAGAAGACTGCTATTTCGTGGATTATATCAGAACTTCAAGAATCAATATCAATATCAGACAAGTCCACTAAACTCTTGACCTTTCCCAATTCATTTTTGTTGATTGTAACACTTTCTTTGATCTCCTGTCCTTTTTTTCTTTTTTGTCATTTTTGGGCCTTGGCATTAATCATTGCCCGTCCTCACTCATTTTGAAGTAACCGCTTGAAATTATCAAAGAATCAGGAAAGCCCAACCAGCTACACCATCACTCCATTTCTTCATTCACTTGTGTCATGACTCTATAGAGAGAATAAACTCAGAAGTATTAAATTCTTTACCCACTAGGCACTCTAGTCAGATTGTGAGGTAATCCAGTTGATTGGCCAGATTATAGCTGTATATCAGATAATTCTTTCTTGTTTCCATTTATAGAGAGAGATAGATATATATATATATATATATAGAGAGAGAGAGAGAAGGGGGAGGGGGGAAAGAGAGAATTTTGGGAGTTGACAGCTCCTCAAAGGCGGAATTGCTGCCGACATGCATGGCAGGTGATCTCCATGCAGGAGGAATCAACCCTTCTTGTGGCCTGCTCTCTCATCCTTTGCGCCATCTCTATCTCTTCATGGGCTTTCTCTCTCATCTTTCTAGCTCTTGTAAACTCTCTCTCTGCGATCTGAATCTCTCTCCTTGCCATCTCTCTAGCTCTCTCAGCATATGCTCTCTCAGCAGATGCAAGCCTTCTTTGCTCCTCAGCCTGCCTCCTCACTGCCTCGGCCTCCGAACCACCACTTCGCCTGAGATTCCCAAACTCATTACTGGAAAATGGAGAGGGGCTGCCAGAAAATATGGGCCCCGTGGTTTGGAGGCCAATGGAGAGTTGAAGGTCAGGCGTTCCATTGCTTGAAAATTCCATAGAATTGCCACAGACCTCTGCTGGAGAATTGGATTTCCAGCAAGTTGGTGTGTCTCCAGGGAGAAGCTGCAATTCTCTGTGATCCATTAGAGTGGTGATTTTCAAAAGTGGTGGGTGGAGATGAGAGATGGTGAAGGTGGTGATATCTATTGGGGGCTAGGGGGCTGGCGAGGTGGTGGTGGCTGGCAGCTATAAGAATGAAGGGAGTGGCGGCTGCATTTCGATATGATCATCCACGTGACTGGTGGTTTTCACAGATAGGTTGTAGGGATGGGAAGATGGTGGTGGCTAACGAAACGGAGGGAGAAGCTTCAGCTCAAATTGATCATCCATTAGACTGTTGTTTTAGAGAGAGAGTCGAGGGATGGGGTAGGTGGTGGTGGCTATATATACATGGAGAAGCTACAATTTGCTCTGGGGAGATAGAGGGGGAATGGGAATGGGAATGGGGATGGTGGCAATGGCTATCATATTTATATACTTTGGTGGATTTTTTTAATCCTTTTTTAGGTATATAAACTTAAAAGGGTGGATGGAACGGATCACGTTATTCTTTGATACCTTTTCCACGGAAGGAGGGTGGGCTTTTTGGTCTTTTTTAAGTATTGGGTAAGGTCGGCTATGGAATGATGGGATCACACGTACGTCTGGCACTTTGGGGATGGACTGGCTTTGCCTTGCTTTTTGTCGGGGCTAAGCTAAGTATTGGCACGTGAGAAAGGTTCAGGTTGGTCCATGATCTGCCAGGCACTACAGTATGCTGCGCATGTCCCTGCTGTGACATTTTTCCTTTGTGATAAATATAGGAAAATATTTTGATAGGGCCGCAACCCTATCCAAATGAGTAAAGCCTCACCTCAAAACTTGCTGAAAGTTAATAGTTTGGGCATCAAAAAGCCTTCAATTCCATCATCTCAGTCTTGACCAATATGGTTGTGGAAAAAAGAAAAAAGGATTTTGAGCCTTAAAAATAGATAATAAAATGAAAGAATTGTTTGCACAAATCCAACAATGGATTTCATTAATGAACCCAAATTTTATCAACCAAGAGAAATTTAAAAAGAAAAAATTATATACAATATGTGTCTTAAAAATATGATGCCATAAGCTTGGATGAAGGTCGTCCGGTTTTTAGATGGTCAGGTTTAAGTATTAGGGAAGCCAAAACCTATTTTGTTTCTTAGGTTTGAGTATTAGAGAGCCCAGAACGTTTTTTTTTTTTTTAATAATCATCTTGTGATTCTTAAAACCTATTTTGTTTTTAAATAATCATCTAGTGATTCTTTGGTGTATCCCGAAATTTCAGATTGACAAGATTTCCCTACCTTGCTCTTTTGCTCGAGAAAGGAAGTGCATAATTTCAAGCATGATGTACGTGCTCAACAATAAATTACATGTCATGTCCTTTCTTGGCTATGACCTCTCAAGAGCCTATTTTTTTACAAATTCATGGTTGATGGAAACCATTCGTTGTTGACAAATTTGCAGTTGATGCAACCTTTCCTCAGTAAAGAGCAAAGCTTTGTTGTAGACATTGGATGGCAAATTTGACATGTGATTTGATTTTTGCAAATTACAAGTCACCATATATAGGATGATATCATGTTTTCCCAACTAAAATGAAGTCCTAAAGAGGTAGCCAACCCCCTCCTTTTTGGAGACAGCTAATGTTGAATGATTAAAACATACCTGCTCTTAAATAGGGCTGGCAATGAGCCGAGCAGCCCAGCCTAAAAAAAAGTAGGGCCTGGGCCATGAACTGTGGCCCAAGGGCCAGGTTAGGGCCAGCGCTAGCCTGATTCAGCTCTCTTTTTCTCTTGTTTTTTCTTTTATGTTTTTCTTTTGTTTTAGGCTTGTTTTGCTTTTGTTTTAGGCCGGGCCTGGGCCAGAGAGTTGGGCCAGGACCAACATGGTCCAGTCAAGGACCGCCCCATTACCACCCCTTTTTTTGTTTTTTTTTACCGGAGTTGAAAGAAGATGGTGCTGCCAAACCCTTACTCTTAAATGAAATGCAAATCGCTCTCATCAAACCGACCATGCCAACCCCAAGTGGTGGAGATTTGTTCTATAACTCTACCGAAGGTATAATACCACTGTCCATCGAGAGTTATTTCAGATCATCTCAACATTTTTTTATGGCTTGCTACTGCCGGTGGTGAGGAAATATTGACAGAAAATCCTTCGTTTTTAAAATGGGAAAAGTACATCATAATCCTCATGACCATATGAAATATATAGGTTGGGTGTACACCACTATCAATCAGTCTCATGGTGATGCGGAAAGAGCAGTATTTAGCATTATTTAATTTGAAGTATAAGAGAAAAAGAAATTACCAAAGGCACAGGTGGTCAGGGTAGTAAGTTCACAATGTGATGTCTTAAATTCCATTCCTACCACAAGTAGAAGCTCTTTCCCCACTGATCTGCCTTCAAAATAATAATAATAATAATAATAATAATTATAAGAGATGCATATGCTGGATAATAGCATAGTTTGGGTGTCCAACTCATACTTTACGTGGTCTGTGTGGATCATTGCATAACTTCGTTCTAGAATATGGAAAAAAAAATTTACACGGCCTTTATGTTGAGCCTTCTCGTATTTATTATTTTACTTTTGTCTTTCCCTATTATGTAGTTTTTTGGTAGATTATTATGTAGATTTGTAGGATTGTGGATCATTGCATAACTTCCTTCTAGAATATGGAAAAAAAAATTTACACGGCCTTTATGTTGAGCCTTCTCGTATTTATTATTTTACTTTTGTCTTTCCCTATTATGTAGTTTTTTGGTAATTTATTATGTAGATTTGTAGGATTGAACCAAAATTTGAAATCTATTGAGAAATAACCTTCGCAACAATCCATTTTTTCCCAGATTTTTTTATTTTTTATTTTCCTTTTGGAAAGAAACCATGCTATGTATTCTTGCCTGTAGTATTCAGTCTGTTTTCAAAAGCAACTAATTATGATGAAGCCGCTCATCCATTTGAGTGGACGGACAATGACATGCTTGAGTGGAAGGAGGGTTCATCTCAACCGTCTACTGCAAAATATGATTGGTTGAGACTATATGAAGTATATACATGCAGTAGCAGACACTTGGGACTACAACGAAGTAAATAATGCATGACGTGTGGCATTTGCTCTTCTTTAGCCAAAAGATATTCTACTCCTACAGGAGTAGCATGTCCATTTACTCCCTCGGAAAAAACCCCACCTACAATTAATTTGAGGAACCCAAATTTTGGTGATGGAACCTCTTGAATTTATAGATTAACCTCAATTAAAAGAAATTTTCTAAATATACCATCTATACACTTGGAAAAAAACTAATGTCACGAGAATGAATAGATACCATCCATTTTTTAGATGGTGAGATTTAAGAGTTAGAAAACTCTAAATTTTTTTTTTTTTTTTTTTTGAGAATAATCATCTAGTAGTTCTTAAGTAGTTTCCCAAATGTCAGATTGAAAAAATCCTCCGAAGCAGGTCTTGTGATAGAGGGAGTAGGAGCACAGCATACATGATCTTTTCGTTATTAGCTCAGGTCTGCACATGTCCATTCTTCTCTTTAAAGTCAGTAAATGGAGCATAAAGACAAACTATGTCCCAAATCACAGTACCTATCACATAGTTGGATTCACACGATCGCAATATGTCGAACTGCTTGGGCTAATAGTGGAGCATGGAGAGGCTTCCCATGTGCATTATAGGGACCCATGGTCCTGCACTGTAGGACCTCTGCTCCTTCCACTATGAGATGATGCTTTCATGGTGGGGAAAGTGTGAGGGTAAACTAGGGTACAAAGCATGTGAGTTAACTCAGTGTGCCCCTAATGGTGCAACTTTATTTGGGAGGGTTGCCCTCAAATCTAATGGTGTGTGTGCCTTTGTGGTAGAGAAAGAGAGGGGATTTGGTGCCCTGTTTGGGTAGCTTTTAGGCTACCCAAGAATCAAATGTTTCAGAAGAGGATGGGTCACTTTAGGATGTGATATGATTTATTTATCATGGTCTCCCACTATCATTCTTGACAAAGAATAATAGGGGGACTTGCCACGATTTTAAAAGCCTTAAGTTTGGCAAAGACAAGGAGATAAGCATCATTGCCTGTTGTTACTCACACACATGCTTCAGGGGCTGCCACATAGGTGGACCCACACAATACATGTAGGATTGTTCATTTGGGCCATTGGGTATCATGATTGGGCTTTTTCATAAATTAATGCTCAAGGGATACCTTATTTGGCTTTTCTTAAATTACTAGTCAAGAAAGACCATACATGATTATCTTAGATTACTACCAAAGAAAGCATGCTATCCTTAATCCTTTCTTTTTCAGAGGGCTGGGCCGGGCCGGATGGCCCGGCTTTAAAAAAGTAGACTTAACCACAAAACATAGCCCAAGGACTGGGCTAGGACTAGTGCTGGCCCTGTTCGGTCTAGCCCAGCCTGCTTTTTTTCCTCTTTCTTTTATCTTTTCTTCATTTCTTTTTTGCCCGGCCTGGCCCAGCCTTGGTGTTACAGGGTCGGGCTTGGGCTGGCTCTATAGGGACAAGGCCGGCCAAGGCCAGAGCTGGCCAGTTGCCACCCATAATTTCCTTTTATTTTATATTAAGTATTATAATTCTTAATCTTATATTAAAAATGTTAATGACTTTCCGACCAACTTTTGCGGCTGTTAAGCTTTGTGTAAAGGTGAGATTTGTAACACTAATCAGGATCACACGTTATGAGACAAAGGAACCTCAAACTATCAAAACCGAGCATGCGCGATGCACAAACATATGCTAGAGTCAATGTAAACTAATGTCATCAACCTCTTAAAAATGATATGGTAGATTAATTAATGTCCTCAATCTCTCAAGAACATGCATGAATCAGTGTCAAGATATTCGAAGAAAGTGATGAAGTGATTGCTATAAATAACTTAATAAGTATAAAGAAAGTGATGAAGTGCTTGTTATAAATAACCTAATAAGTATAAAAGCTACTATGCTTGTGCCATGATTATTCTTTTTTCTTTTTCTTTTTTTGACAAGTATTGCCATGATAGATATTATACATTGGAAACAATTATCTACTATGCTTGTGCCATGATTATTCTTTTTTCTTTTTTCTTTTTTCTTTTTTCGACAAGTATTTCCATGATAGATTTTATACATTGGAAACGATTATCAGATCCTGCTTGATCACTTTCAGTAGTCTTTTGCGTTTCAAAACCTGGATTGGTCTGGTGAATCGGCCATCCGAGAAATCAATACGGACCAGCGAATCGCCGATTCGGTGATCCGATTGAGAGATTAGGACAGTAAAAATAATAAAAATGAAAACAAAAATAAAAAATTTAAAATAAATAAATAAATAAATGTGGGAACTGGATGATCTAGTCAGTTATGTGGGGAACCGGCCGATTCTCAGTTTCGATCGGGAACCACATTGGTTCCTACCGATTCCGAATCCAAGTGGGCTAATTCTGATATGGATCAATGGTTTTTTTCAAAATCTAGTGTTTTGTGAAAATGATAATACGAGGTTATTGGTTTTAGGGGCAAAAATTGACAATACATAGTGACAAGAAAAATAGCTCATAAATAATTTAAAATTGATCCACGCACATGCATGAACACATATGCGCATATGCACACACGTCGATGCCCTTGTGTCCACACACAAACACAGCAATGAGGGCACAGTTCGCAACATGTTTCTTGCTGCCGGACCATAATAAAACAAATTTTACAATATTGTAACGGATATTATCTGTGGTAGTTGGGAATGAGGTCGTCTTCATCCCTATGGTTCACAAAGATGAACAGGAAAAAGATGAATAGAATCATTTAAAGCTTCGGGAATCAGTTGAAAAAAAGGTCCTCAATTAATTTTCGACTGTTTCTTATGATCTCGATCATCATCATTATAGCTTTTTTCTAATAAATTGGAGTTGATTAATTCTGATAATCTCGATAAAGAAACATATTGGTCCCAACTTCCTAAGATTTGATGAATATGATGCTGAAGAAATTATGCAAGAAGAACCAACCTCTCACAAACAGCCAATCTCCCAAATCAAAATGATGTGACCCAGAGATTCTTGTGCTGCTTCTTTAGAAATACCAGAACCTCTCCCAAATAATCCAAAATCTCTAAATAGATTGATATCTTTACATTTTGTTTGTTTTAGAACTAGAAGGAGTCATAGATAGTTTGGGCAATATAGAATTTCCAAAAGTCAAAAAACAAAATTTGTATGATCTCCCTCTTTTTGAGATTTATTAAATCAATTAGACAAACAGAAGTTAATTTATGTGTAAAAATATTTATCTAATTTTCTTAGCATTTAGATCAAAAGTTGAAAGATGGAAGTCTAAAAAATATCAATATGTTTATCTTGGACCGATTAATATATGGTTCAGCCTTAT